TCAGGACGACAGAAGCAAGCAAAAGCTGGTCCTTTGGAAAAAGGGCTGACGAAGGGGAGGCAGAAAAGGCGGGACAACGTGTTCTGCTCCCTCCACTTCATCTCCTTCCCCTACTGCCAACCCCAAGATTGGTGAAATATTCATTACCCAACATAGAAAAAGCCACATTCTCAGGCGGACCTCAAACTTCTAGCTCCTTCAGTCACAATCTAACATCTTAGCGTTCACCCTACCTGCTGGGCTGAGGTTTGCCAGCTGCCCAGCATTTACTAAACTCCTTCACAGCCTCGACCAGACTCTGTGTCACCTGCTTTTATATAATGAGATGGTTTACAGGTTGACTTAGCTATCTACAGTTCCCAGTTATTCCATCAAACACCAATCTAGGTGTTGCTGTGAAGGTATCTTGTAGATGTGATTAAGGCCCATAATGAGCTGCATTCAATTAAGAGTTTGTCCTAGGTAATCTGGGCGAGACCGATTCTATCAGCTGAAAAGCCTTAAGAGGTAAAGGGAGGCGTCCCTGAGGAAGAAGAAATTCGACCTGCAGACTCAGAATTCAGCCCGTGCTTAAGAGTTCCAGACTGCCCTTCCAGACGGCCTGCAATGTGGATTTTGGAGTTGCCTAGTCAGACCCTTCACCCACCGCCAGCCACATGAGCCAATTCCTCTCAATTAAGTCTCTTCCTATATATATATCTCCTACTGCCTCGATTTTTCTGGTAGGAAAAACTCTGACAGATACATATGATTAGAAAACTTGCTTTCAATCCACTCACCTCATTTTACTAAAATAAATATATTTTAAACACAAAATTTACCTCCTTACTATAAGTAGAAAACTAGTACCACCTGCCATAATAGAAGGAAGCCATAAAGAGAAATACAATAAAATCCAATGCAATGCCATGGAATTCTAACTGGATGCTCCTGCCTGCCACAGGCCCCAAGCATTTGAAGCTGGCTCATCCTGCTAGTGTCAGGAAAAAAAATGAAATTTGGTCTGGTGCTGGCAGGTGTGTACATTAAGGACAAAGTCTCAGGGAGACGCTTATCAGAGGGAGTGATGGAGAATTGAGAAGAGAATATGTTTCCCACCACGTGACCCCTGTTATTTAATGCTATACCCAGGTATGTCCCATCTGAAATCAGCTCAGGTGCAACCAGAGGCTTCCATCCAGCACTTGCAGATACAAGACTCCAGGGTCGCGAGCAAGTAGCCGGGAGCGCGTGAAAGGACTTCATTCTCAGTATCTGGAGCAATTGCCTTGGTATAACTGCAGGGAAGCTGCTAGTGCCAGAACAGACCAAACCCACATGCCTGTCTTTACAATGCACCCTGAGAACACTGCCCAGCAGAAGGCTTTCTACTGACTTATCAGTGTGGCAAGTTCATTCCCCTCCCTCAGTAGGGGAAGTAGCAGAAGCCACAATCGTCACATCCCTTCCTGAGCAGCGGTATGAGGCCTTGCCTCAAAACTCTCAGGTTGTGGCTTCTGGGGCTCCCTGTACCACAGGAAAGGCAGGCCCCAGGAAGTAGTGTTCAGGAGGGAGAAGCCATTGATGATTTCCCTGCCTCCTGAGAAACACTGCCTCTGTGCCTATCTGCCATGACATTGTTCTTTGGGCTCCACTCCCCATGCACAGGAACTGGATTAGTAGCATGTCCTTCAGAGCTCTTTTCTAATCCCCTGCCTGTGTTCCTGGCTAATTTTTTCTTTGATAATTGGCTCCAGTTGCTCACAAGTTTACTTGTAGGAATCCAAGCCAACAGAAAGACACAGTAGATACATATGAAGTAGAAACTATAGTATCCTTTGGAAACTCTGAAAATAAGCCAAATAATGGAAAGGAGATGAGTTTTAGGATACAGCAGATGAGGGTTCAAATCCCAGCTGTGGCATTTTCCAGTGGTGAGATCTTGGAGCAAATTACATAAATCCTCTGACCCTCCATCTCTTCATCTATGAAATGGTCCCAATAATAAGACAATGGTAGATGTCTGACATTTGTCTTCTTTGGGTTAAGTGGCCTCAATTTTTCTTGGGAGCATCATCTCCTCCCACTCTAAGTCTGTGTACTGTGGAAGGAGTGGACCTTGCTCCTCCCCTGAAGCACCTGAGGCACACACATGACCTGGCTCTGGCCAAGCAGCCTAGCCATGCTCCTGGGTCCAGGTATGAACATGAGACCCAGTGTATCCACTGAGAGTGAATGCTGGAGCCACTGGGCAAAAAAACATGTTCTCTCTATTTGGGTTTCTAAGCTGGTAGAGTGGAAGCTGGAGCTACTGGTGAACACGTCAGTCACCTCTTAGGGAATTCCTACTGAGAACAAAGACAATTTAAAAGAAGGCTAAGTAGTATGAAGTGGGAGGAAGGAAGGAAGGAAGAAGGAAGGAAGAAGGAAGGAAGAAGGAAGGAAGGAAGGAAGGGAGAAAGGAAGGAAGAAGGAAGAAAGGAAGGGAGAAAGGAAGGAAGAAGGAAGGAAGAAGGGAAGGAGGGAAGGAGGGAGGGAGGGAAGGAGGGAAGGAAAGGGGAAGGGGAGGGGGAGGGAGAGAAGGAGGGAAGGAAGGGGGGAGGGAGGGAGGGAAGGAAGGCGGGGAGGGAGGGAGGGAAGGAGGCAACGAGGGAGGGAAGGAAGGGAAGGAAGGGAGTCCTGATCTTATCATTTGAGCACCTGGTTCCAGACAAGTCTAAAGTCATTAAGATCTAACCCAAGGACTTGTTTCTCATTCCATCAACCAATAAAATGAGTGTGAGCATCAAAGAAATTGAGTACTGACTGTCACTTCCATCCTAAACACATAACTGCACCTTATAAGAAAATATGAATGTCAAATAAAAATGCCATAAAATCACTTAGCATAACTTAGCCCACGGTGTGCCCTCGATTAATACTAGCTGTTGTTTAGGGAGCCTAAATGAAATAATGTATGGAAGCACTTTTCCAGCTGCCCCCACAGGGTAATCAGGCATTCAACACACGATAGTTGTTATTCCTCAGTGGCAGCCACCTTGAGCCCCAATTCATTCGTCCAAGAGCCCAACCAGCCAGTACGCTCAAATGAGCCTGTTTCTAAAGCCTCACATTTTAGGCTCCAGAGAAGTTAACAAACCTAAAAAACTATATTTTGTAAGGAGTAAAACTTCTTTCAGTAACCATTCAACCCTGTGTGGTTCGACGGACCTCCCCAGAGCTATTCAGATGGGAAAATGGGGGGAAATCTTTTCATTACCAGTTAAGTCAGGGAAATCTCTGAAAAGTAACCATTAGGTTGCTGCAGAAGCTGAACCTTTTCAAAAGGAAGAAGTAAAATTAAAAGGCCAAGGGAAAAATGTATCTTGTTTCTAAAATCCAGATTTAGATGTTGCCAAGAGTCATGTGTGACACACAACCCCGCTACATCTTGATGACAAGAAAGACTTAATAATTACTTTCTTTAAAGGTTGATGGACTTAACCATTCTTAACCAAAAATGCTGCTGTGGGGCAGGTAAGAGAGGGGAGAGGGAGCGTGACAGATGGAAAGGGACAAAACGTGCTAACCGCTCACATCACTTCACACCAGCGGTCAGAAGGGGAAGTCAGTCAGCAATAATGGAACTGCCCTCTATGGATTCCACTCCCTTTTGCAGATTTCATGTGCACCCACTGCAGACAAGCCCTAGCCTACCAAAAAATGAAAATAAAAACAAATCTGATAAGAGGAAACATTATAAGGATGGATATTCCTGGTAAACTCTTTAAAAATGATCTTTGGATGACTTCCAAATTCTTCCAAAGTCTGTACCAGGGCAGGCAATTTATGACACTGGTTGTTTCATGCTGGGGTAAGGGCAGAAGGGAGGTAAGAAATTAACACTTATTGAGTAGCTACCATATGAATATCCTCCTTTAAGCCTCACCCCCATACCATAAGATAGGTAATTAGTAAGACCATTTTATAGATCTTGAGTTCAAGATGGTGAACGAACTTAAGCTCACACTAGAAATTATGAGGTCAGGTCTGTCAGACTCCAAAATTTGTGTGTAATCCAATATTTTATGCCCCACATCAATCTCCACTCAATGAATCATTCATTTCTCCTTCCCTCTCCCGTTTCTTTATTTTATCTATAATTAGGATCCAGGTCTCTCTTGCTCAAAAAACACTTGAGGAAGGACACAGGAAAGAAGGAATAAAAACAGGTCCAGGCAGGCCATGGGTCTTCCAGGGCCTGGCATTTGGAGGCTGGAGGTTCCTAAAAACTAATATGGGAACTCACACCTGCAATTATTATAATATTTATATAACACCATTTTTTATTCTCTTTCATTCTTTCAACTCTTTGGAGTCCACGAAGAGTGTATGCAGATTAGAACTTACCAACCAACCAAAGTCTAAATGAACAGGAGAATGAATCTGAAGTCACCATAATTATGGCTAACATTTTTTTTTTGACCTACATGTCAACTCTCTGCCTGGCATTTATCTAATCATTTCATGTAAATTAACTCAGAGAATCTCCATAGCAACGATATGAGGCAGATACTGTTATCCCCGCAATACATATGAGCACCAAGGCTCAGAGGTGAAGTCATGTGGCCGGCCAGGATCACTCAGCCGATACAAACTGAAGCAGCTAGCTTCAGAGCCCATGCTCAAATCTACCATGTTAGTCCCCAGCAGTTAAGGACAACCCATAAACTATGTCTACCCTAGACTTCAGCCACATCTGTTTGAGAAGGCTTTTTCTGAAAAAATAAGGAGTCCAGAAAAAAAGAGAAGTGGAGTTATCCAAGTCCTGTCCAAACATGACAAGTCAGTGTCAGGAAGGGGCAGAAGCTTCACATACAGCTGTCCATGAAACCATATTCCAGCCCAGCCCTCAAAGACCCACGTGCACCCTGTCAATGGAGGGTAAAAAATGGCAGATGCATTTGTTACCACAGGCAGCACCTTGATGCAGACATCATCCTCCTTCTCATGGGTGCTGGCCAGCTGGGCACAGACAGCAGATGGCAGGAACAGCAGCAGAACTGGAGGCAGAACTGCTGTTGTCTGTATCCCCTGAGCTGAGAAAGCCAGAGCCGGAGCAGCAGAGACAGCAGAAGCCTTGGGTTACCAGTAGGAGAGCAGACATGCTCACCAGTCCTTTAAGAAGGGCTGACATTGCCATAGAATGCATGAGGTAGAGACAGAGAAATTCTTATTTTACCTCTATCGTCAAGACCCTACTTTTAGCTCAGGCTGGTGTAATCTGAAAAGTACAGTGATCTCTATCCAGAAAAAATAGAAACAGCAGATAGGCATATATATACACACACATACACAGGTGTTTGTGTATGTGTATAGACACGTGTGTACTCATGTCTTCATTTATGAATCCAGTGAGTGTGTACATTTTCTTCTCTACTGAGTCACTGAGTCATTTGAAAAAGTAGAGAAAAGACTCTTAACTCTTGATTTCTTCAATTTTCCTAAATGGAGAACTTTTTAGAAGAGTGTTTCAGGAGAGAACCACTGGAGCAATCCTCTGGGACTCATAAAATGCATGGCGCCTATTTTTAAGACCTCACAGCAACAGCACTCCCCACCCCCCACACACATTGCTACAGCCCTCTGCCTTGATGTTCTTTCGATTCTCAGGGGTGCCTGCTTCACACTCCCAAACTGTCTGTAATTCCCTTTAGCTAAGGACTAGATGACTTGTCTATTTCCCTCCCATTCCAGTGTCCAGCAAACAGCAGAGCCCAGCAAGCCTTTACTCCACATTTGGAGGCTGAGAATTGAGGAGTAGACTCTGTCCATGCCATCTCCCGTGCCCTTGCCTGCTTCACCCCTAGGAACCAAAATTTCCAATTCTGAACTGATCTGTGGAGATGGAGTGAGCCAAGACCATGGAATCAGTGTTGAAAGATCCCATGGAGGTCACTTGTTCCATCATTCACTCAGCAAATATTAATTGAGCACTTAGAGAATGCCAGGCAATTCTTAAAACTTGATAGAAGGTCAATCAAGGGGATTAGCTGCTTCCTTGGTTGTCAGTCTCATCTCTTTCTGTGTAGCTCTCAATCATTAGAAGTTTCATTCTGTATTAAGCCAAAAATCTTTCTCCTCATAACTTATCCCCTTTTATTTGGATATTACACTGCATTGGAATTAAACTGTGAGGATTTAAATGCAAAAACAAAACCTAAAATGTATGGGCAGGGGAATATAGATGAACACATAATCTTAGGTCAAGAGAGATTTTTTTATATGACACCAAAGAAAAATTAAGTAAAATGTTGATGAGTTTGCCAGTATAATACCTGAAATGCACATACACTAAATCAAAGGCAAGAAGTAAACTGAAAAGAAGTATTTGCAACCTAGATGGCAGAAAAAGGGCTAATAGTCTTAACATTTAAAACTTATAAAGCAACTAAGAAAAGGAAAATATCAGCAGAAAATAAGCAAAAGACACAACTAGGTAATTCATAATATTTAAAATGTCAAATATAAAAGAAAAAATATTTAACTTCACTAATAATTCAAAACATATAAATTAAAGCAAGTTACCACATTTCACATATAAATCTGGCAAGATATTTCAACATCATAGTGCCCAGTACTGGGGAAAATATGGTGAGATAGAGATACTCTCACATATTGGTGGGGTAGCCTCGGGAATGATTTGCCCAGACACATCAAAAACAAACCAGCAAACCAGTAAATCAAAACCATCAAAATATTCATAATCCTTTGAATTCTATACCTTTTACTTCTAGGGCTTTATAGTAAGAAAATACTCAAGGACGTATAGAAAAATTTATTTCCAAGGCTGTGCATCCCAGGGTTTGTTGTATTACAGAAAAATTGAGGGAAAATCAACATACAAAACAGAATTTTATGAATAAATTATAGTAAATTTATAAAATAGAATATTTTACAACACTCAAAAATGTCATTATGGAAAAGTATTTAATGACTTTAAAAGTTATTTACAATATTAAATTATATTAAAAAGTCAAGTTGTGGCCAAGTGCAATGGCTCGCACCTGTAATCCCAGCACTTTGGGAGGCTGAGGCGGGAGGCTTCCTTGAGCCCAGGAGTTTGACACCAACCTGGGCAAAATAGAGAGACCCCACATCTACAAAAAATTTGAACATTAGCCAGGTGTGGTGGCGGACTCCTGAGGTCCTAGCTACTCAGGAGGCTGAGGTAGGAGGATCACTTGAGCCCAAGAGGTTGAGGCTGCAGTGGGCCGTGATCATGCCACTGTACTCCAGCCTGGGCAACAGAGCAAGACTCTGTTTCAAAAAAAAAAAAAAGGCCAAGTTGCAAATACATATTTTCAAAAATACAATTATAAATATACCTTGAATACATGCTTAGGGAAAAGAAATAGAAGGTTATAACCTAATGGATTAACAGATCATTGTCAGAAATGGGATTAAGTCATCTCCATACAGGCAGCTCTCTCTCTACCTCTGCCTCTCTTTCTCACTCCTATTTGTAAATTTTCAAGTTTTTTGCAATGGATATGAGTTTCTTTTCTAACAACAGCACTTTGTACTGTAAGCTTTAGTATTTTGGGGCAGCTTTGACACACAATTAGTCCATGTTAAGTCTTTAATAAAAAATACAACTCAGACATTTTCTCTTGAACTTGGACAGTTGGCTTTTTGAAGCTAAATGCCAGCCTTTAAACTATCCCTGCAGAACGCCATCATTTTCACTCTGAGTTCCAGTCTTCTGGGTAGGGTCTTTCAATGCCTGTTGCTGTCATGAGATGCCTGAGCATCCTGGCATTGCACCTTTGGGAAATTTAATAAGCATGCTTTTCCTTCCCTCCTCCACTAACTGTGGGTACAGAATAGAGGATGGGCCCCTATGGGGTCTTTCCCCTGTGTCAGTCCTGCATGGGCAGTGGGCCTGGAAGGATGAGGGGCGGAACAGTTTACCATACCAACAGGCAGGGAAAACAAGGATCAGAATGGTAGAGGAGAGGAAACGGTACCAAAACAGAGATTACAGGGAGGAGACACAGAAGCACATTCTGCCTCCAATCTGATTACACTGCCAAAGAAATAAGACCTCTGGGGCCAGCTCTCCTGGCTGCCTGCCTTGTCCACAGGCCCAGGCACTGTGACCGACCCACACTGCATCACTCACTTAAGTGGCATCGATATCTGACAGACAGAGCACCGAGTCCTGGCCCCTTGTGTCCCTAATGTAGTTAGAGTTGGAGAAATTATTCATCAGAGAATAGACTAAAGCGGTTAGCGTCCCCTGGATGCATTAGGGTCAGGTCCTGTCGGCCTCAGCAAAGCACCTCTGTGTGCTTATCCTGAAAACCCCTGAGCTGGCTCCACACTGGTGCCCTCGTCGCTCATCTCCAGAACCACAGCCAGTCCCGTGACTCACTGCCATGCTGTCTCTTCGCAGCCCCTTTCCTCCCTGTTACCTTCCAGAACTCTTCCGGGCCCCTTGCCTCCCTCAGCCCTGGGAGCTCAATCCTCAGCTAAGAAGCAAGGTGCTCCCAGTTGCTGTCCCCACTCTTAGCCCTCGCCCCCAATGTTCCCGGTTCCCAGGCATCTCCATTTGTCCTTCCTGTCCTTTAGGGTCCAGCGGCAGCCACCTTCTCCTGAAGTCTTCCCAGCTCTCACTAGCCAGAAGTACTAGTGCTCACGGGGCGTTTTGTTTTATTTCTCTCTAGCATTTCCCAGACAGTCGGGGGCGAGGTAAGGATGCGGAGAGCCATTGAGAAGGAGGATGTCAGCTCCTGCAGGGAGGGAAGAACACCACTTCCTGCACTCCCATGCTTTGCACAGAGCACAAAACCACGTGCATGGGCTTGGAGTGCATTGCCTTGACTTTCCAAGGTTCTCATTCCCCATTAAAAAGAAGGGTTTTATCAACAGTCTCAACAACCCTTATTACATAAACATCTACCTACCTAATACTCTGAAGTGTGAGGTGAGGAAAAGATCCCTACTTGACAAAAGAAACCATAATTATCACAATTATTGTTATAAATCAACTTCATTTACTATGCAGGGGCTATGAAACGGCCTCTTCTATGTTCTCTGAGTATGGTTTCTCATCTTCACAATAATTCCACAAGGTAAGTCCTGACTCTTCAGAAGTTCAGTGATGTGCCAGAAGTCTAAGGACGCGAAATGTATGAAGTCAAGATTTAAACCACAGACCTAACTCCATATCCATATTCTCTCCATTATTCAGTGTTCCTTGGTAAATGTTAGGACTCTCGCTGCAGACTGTGAGCGACTGGGCTGTACTTAGGAGTGTTTGTTGGAGTAGAACAGCCTCGAGGTTAAGAACAGGGTTCTGGCCGGGCACGGTGGCTCACACCTGTAATCCCAACACTTTGGGAGGCTGAGGCGGGCAGATCACAAGGTCAGGAGATCAAGACCATCCTGGCCAGCATGCTGAAACCCCATCTCTACTAAAAATACAAAAATTAGCTGGATGTGGTGGCGTGCACCTGTACTCCCAGCTACTTGGGAGGCTGAGGCAGGAGAATTGCTTGAACCAGGAAGCGGAGGTTGCAGTGAGCAGAGATTGCACCACTGCACTCCAGCCTGGTGATAGAGCGAGACTCCATCTCAAAAAAAAATTTTTTTATAAAAGAATAGGGTTCTGCAGCCAGGCTGACCAGGTTGAAATCCTGGCTCTGCCATTTGCCAGCTGTGTGTCCTTGTTCAAGACATTCACCTTCATAGCTGAACTTCCTCAGCTGTAAAACAGCAAGGTGGCTCCATGAAATCCCACTCTTCCAGTCCTATGCACCTGGTACTTCTTAGCCATGAGCCCACTAAACCCTAAGCACAGCCTATGAAGATAAAATCAGTTTGACAGGGAGGCTCATGAGGTGAAGGGCTGAAAAGTGTTTTGAAACTACTGCAAGTTGGAAGATCCCGCAGAAATTTTTTTAAATATCCAAAAGTATCCTGTAAGTAATTCGAAAGTGATTTTCAGACACAACAGGTTTACCAATTTTCCTAGGTTTACCAATTTTCCTAGCATCCCTGCCTGCTGAGAAAGGGTAGTCAGGGAATGAGACACTGAAAAGAGCCCTGCGTTCTCAATAACTCATTTCGGACCCTTCTTTGAACAGGTGCTCAATGCCAGGAGATAGAAGTTCAAATGCCTCAGCCCACCCTTTATGAATCTTATCAAGCTAAGAGTCCAGCCACTTCCCACATTAACCTTCCGTTTCTGCATATTGCAAGCTTCTACTCATCTTCAATACCCCACTCCAATGTCCCTGCTCAGTAGAGCTTTCACTGATCTCTGTAGGGTGAGATCATTGTTACCACATCCCTGTTGCCACAGTACTTTGTACAATTGTCTACCACAGCCCTTCTTACATTCCATGCTAGTTAAAGGTTTACGTATCTGCCTCCACTGTTAGTTGTGAATAGTGAGCTGGGCAAGGGTCAGGGTCATGTCCTGGTCAACTTTTAATTTTAAATCTCTAATACCAGGTACATATCAAATACCAAGTCAATATTTTTGAATGCAACATATAGATTAATAGATAAGCTTAAATATTAGTAAAAGAAAAAAATCACCCTGGCTAAGTAAATAATAGCTCCTTCATCAATGTCATCATTGTCAAGACCATTAAGATCCCAGCAATACAGCCTCTGTAAGTGAAAAACATAAGCAAGAAAACAGAATTGAAAAACATAATATCTTTCCCAAGATAAGATTTTTAAATATTCAGGTCCTATTTCTAACTCAGAAAACCCTCTGTGGATAATTTTCTTGCATTGTTCTCCTAAATGGTCAATGGTACTCAAGAGGCTTTCTTGGAGGTCTGAGATGGAGCTATTTTCCTCACATGATCAATCTCTTCACAATGAAATTTCAAAAGCACACAGGCCATTTGAAGGTTGACTCCTGCTTTGGGGCAACACTGAAGATTGCGTTCACAGGGAAGGCACACAGTGGGCTCCTGGTAAATATTTGCAGCACAGTAAGTGTTTATTGTATGAGGCGCTCTCCTGTGGTGCTGCTTGAAGTCAACTATTCACAGGCCTCTGATCTAACCACCTCAGTTATAAAGGAACAGGCAATGTTGCAAGGAAGAAAAGCCTTCGGTCAGTCTACCCAAGTTTAAGTCCTGGCTCTGACACTAACAAGCTGGGTGACTTCAGGAAAATCACTTGCCTCTCTGGGTAACAATTTCCTCATCTGTAAAATAAGAGTATTTTCCCCTGCCTTGTAGAGGCTCTGCAAGATCAATACTTCATAAGGTATAGTAGACCCCCTTATCCTTACTTTCACTTTCCACAGTTTCAGTTACCTGAGATCAACTGCAGTCTAAATATAGGCTGTATATAGTATCATTGATATTTTGTGAGAAAGACCACATTTACATTACTTTTATTGCACTGTATTATTATAACTGTTCTATTTCATTAGTTATTTTTGTTAATCTCTTACTGTGCCTAATGTATAAATTAAAGTTCATCATAGGCGTGTATGCTTAAGAAAAAGTGTAGTATATGTAATATTTCGTACTATCTGAGGCCTAAAGCACCCACTGTGTGTCCTTGGAACACGTCCGCCTCAGCTAAGTGGGGAACAGCTATATGTCAGACAGACCTGACATGGTGGTGAGTGGATATCTGTAGTGTATACAGACTGCGCTTCTGTGGCTTTGCTAGATTTCTTTTCTGACCCTCAGCTTTGGGACCCAGAATTTTATTTGTATCTATCTCACAAACATCCAAAACAAGAGGATGAAGAAAGAGCAGAGAATAGAATTGAAGGATTAACTCTATGGCAGAAAAGGTGCCTTGTCTGAACTAGAGACAGGGCCAAGGGAAAGCCTCTGGGAAAACCATCTCTCCCACATGAGATGCTGAGTATGACATGGGGAAATATTAACAGAAAAATTCCGAGAGAGTGGGACGTCTGACTTCTGAGCAGTAACCTTTGTTGCGCTAACAACGAAAAAGAATTAAATGTGGGTGATGTTGAGAAAGGCAAGAGGATTTTTATCCGGAAGTATTCCCAATGTCACACCATGGAAAAGGGAGGCAAGCACAAGACTGGACCTCATCTCCATGATCTCTTTGGGTGGAAGACAGGTCAGGCTGCTGGATTCACTTACACTGAAGCCAATAAAAACAAAGACATCATCTGGGGAGAGGATACACTGATGGAATATTTGGAGAATCCCAAGAAGTATATCCCTGGAACAGAAATAATCTTTGTCGGTATTAAGAAGAAAGGAGAAAGAGAAGACTTAATAGCTTATCTCAAAAAAGCTACTAAAGAGTAATAATTGGCCACTGCCTTATTTATTATGAAATAAGTGTCTCATGACTTTTTTATGTGTACCATACTTTAATAGATCTCATACACCAGAATTTACATCATGAATGACTGACAGAATATTTTATTGGGCAGTCCTGATTTAAAACTAAGACTGGCTTGTGGTTAAATGAGTATGTTCAGTTTTTGGATTTTAATAGTAATTCCAATTTAGCAAATTCCATCACTGTTTACCCCTTCTAAAGATATGATTAGACTTTGTTAGTAATGGTAAATTTTTCACAAAGATGGTGAGTGCCATCTTAAAACTTACTGGAGATTGGTTTTATATTTAGAATTATATAACTGGTTATGTGAATATCTTTAAATATGGGGAAAATTCCTTCACTGTCTCAGAACCAAGCAAGATTCACCTGTGTTTTGTGTTCATTTGCCCCTTAAAGGCAAGGGTTGAAGATAAATGGGTAGCAATGGCTACTTTATATTTTTGGCCTTAACTATGCCAATCTAATTAGAATTCCTTGTATTTAAAATTTTTCCTTTTACTTATTGAAAGACATTTTGTGTGGTTTATGTGTAATATCATAAATTATTTAACACTTCACACATTTTATAGATGATCTATAAGGTCACATGCTTTTAAAATAGTAGCCAATTAAACTTCGCTCTTGGATTCTTTACAATCTAAGTCAAACTAAGTTATAATTTAGGATTGTCTTTAAACAGACCTTCAGAAACAAAACTGTACAACTGCTGTGTATTTGTGATTGGGAATGGTGCTTCTACCAACTTAAAAGGATTAAAGTAGGGGAGATATACACAAATTTAAAAAAAAATCCATTTATTTTGTTTATATAAAATTTGACAAAGTTCCTTTCTTTATGGTAACCAGTTACTATTTGTGCCCAATGTTATGCAAATGCACATTATCAAATATCTGCTAGTTTCACCAAGCTATATGTCACTATGCATACCGAATCTTCATAACGTGTTGCTTATTTGTTGAAGTCAGATAGTTTTTATTTAAAAAAATTAAAAGATGTGTTGGCTCTTGTTCCTGCTGATATCCGTGACCAAGAAAAGAGCAACTTTAAACATATATATATATATGTGTGTGTGTGTGTGTGTATGTGTATATATATATATATGCATATACATATATATAGTTATATATGTATATGGTTTTATATATAATAGGTATAATTATATATATATATGGTTATAATATATATAAAACTATATATATGGCTATACCTATTAGGATGGCAATTAACCAAGAAAAATGGAAAATAACTAGTGTTGGCAGGGAAATGAAGAAATCGGAACATTTGTGCTTTGCTGGTAGGAATGTAAAATAGTGCATCCATGGCCCACAGACACTGTATAGCACCTACACAATCAAGTTTACAAAACAGCCAGCTAATAACATGATGACAGGATCAAAATCTCACATATCAATATTAACCTTGAATGTAAATGGTCTAAATACCTCCACTTAAAAGACAGGGAGTGGCAAGTTGGATAAAAAAAAATAAGACCCAGCTGTCTGCTGTCTTCAGAAGACCTATCTCACATGTAACAATACCCACAGGCTCAAAGTAAAGGAATGAAGAAAGATCAATCAGGCAAATAGAAAACAAGACAGAGCGGGGTCACTATTCTTATATCATGTAAGGACTTTAAACGAACAACAGTGGAAAAGGACAAAGAACAGTATTACATAATGATAAAAGGTTATATTCAACAAGAATATAACTATCCTAAATATACACACACCAAATATTGGAGTACTAGATTCATAAAGCAAGTTCTCCTAGATCAATAAAAAGACTTAGCCACACAATAATAGTGGGAGGCTTCAACAACCCTCTGACAGTGTTATATAGATCATGAAGGCAGAAAACCAATGAAGAATCCTAGACCTAACCTTATCACTTGACCAATTGGACCTAATAGACAGCTACAGAATACTCCACCCAACAATCATAGAATATACATTTTTCTCATCTGCACATGGGACATATTCTAAGATCAACCATATGTTCAGCCATACCGCAAGTCTCAATAAACTCAAAAAAATCAAAATCATACCAAGCACATTCTCAGACCACAATGCAATAAAAATAGAAATCAATACCAAGAAGATCTCCTTGGATGACTTTTGGGTAAACAATGAAATTAAGGTAGGAATCAAAAAAATTTTCAAAAGTGATGAAAACAGAGAAACAACATACCAAAATCTTTAGGATATAGCTAAAGCAATGTCAGAGGAAATATTAGAGTGCTAAATACCTACATTAAGAAGTTAGAAAGATCTCAAACCAATAATCTATCATCACAGCTAGAACTAGAAAAGTAAAAAATAAGATAAAATAAAGCTAGCAGAAGAAAAGAAATAACAAAAATCAGAGCAGAACTGAATGAAACCAAGATGCAAAAACTCCACACAAAAGATCAATGGAACCAAAGTTTGGTTTTTTGAAAGGTTAAACAAAATTTATACACCACTAACGAGATTAACACCAAGAAAAGAGAGAAGATTCAAATAAGCACAGTCAGAAATGACAAAGATGACATTACAACCAACACCACAGCAACACAAAAGATCCTCAGAGATCATTAGGAAATCTCAAAGAAATGGATAAATTCCTGGAAACACACAACTTTCCAAGATTGAATCAGGATGAAATTGAAAGCCTACCAATAACAAGTTCCAATATTGAATCTGTAATAAAAAGAAAAAACTACCAGCCAAAAAAATGACCTAGACCAAATGGATTCACAGGCAAATTCTACCAGGCGTACAAAGAAGAGCTGGTACCAATCCTACTGAAACTATTCCCAACATTGAGGAGGATCTCCTCCCTAATCCATTCTACAAAGTCAGCATCATGCTGATACCAAAGGCCGGCAGAGACACAGGAAAAAATACTCCAGACCTATATTCCTGAAAAACATAGATACAAAAATCCTCAAGAATATAGTAGTAAACTGAAGTCAGCAGCATATCAAAAAGATAATTCATCACAATCAAGTAGCCTTTATTCCCAGGATAAAAGGTTGGTTTGATATACAAAAATCAATAAATGTGATTCACCGTATAAACAAAATTAAAAACAAAAACCATGTAATCATCTAAGTAGATGCAGAAAAAGCTTTCAATAAAATCCAATATTCCTTTATGATACAAACACTCAACAAACTAGGCAGCAAAGGAACGTACTTCAAAATAATAAGAGCCATCTATGACAGACTCACAAACAACGTGATACTGAATGGGCAAAAGCTGAATCCATTCCACTTGAGAACTGGAACAAGACAAGAATGCCTACTTTCCTGCTCAACACAGTACTGGAAGTCCTAGTCAGAAGGCTCAGGGAAGAGAAAAAAATAAAAGGCATCCAAATAGGAAAAAAAGTCAACTATCTCTCTTCACTGATAATATGATTGTATACATAAAAAAACTCTAAAGACTCCATCAAGTGGCTCCTAGAGTTGAGAAATGACTTCAGTAAAGTGTCAAAATACAAAATCATTGTACAAAAATCAGTAACATGCATATATACCAATAATGTTCAAGCTGAGAACAAAATCAAGAATGCAATTCTATTCACAATAGCCCTTAAAAAACTAAAATACTGAGGAATACAGCTAACCAAGGAGGTGAAACACCTCCACAAAGAGAATTACAAAACACTGCTGAAATAAATCAGAAATAACACAAATAAATGGAAAAATATCCCATGCTCATGGATTAGAATAATCAAAATTATTAAAATGGCCATACTTCCCAAAGCAATTTACAAATTCAATATTATTGCTGTCAAGCTACCGATGTCATTTTTCACAGAATTAGAAAAAACAGTATTCTAAAATTCATATAAAACCAAAAAGAACCCAAACAGCCAAAACAATTCTAAGCAAAAAGAACAAAGGCAAGTGTCATATTACCTGACTTCAAACTATACCACAAGACTACAATAACCAAAATAGCATGGTACTGGTACAAAAATGCATACACTGATGGAACAGAATAGAGAACCCAGAAATAAACCTGCACACCTACAGTCATCTGATCTTCAACAGAGTTGACAAAAATAAACAATGGAGAAAAGACTCTGTTCATAAATGCTGTTGAGATAACTGGCTAACCACATGCAGAGAAATGAAACTGGACCCCTACCTATCACCATGTATAAAAATTAACTTGAGATGGATTAAAGACTTTAATGTAAATTTTCAAATTATAAAAATTCTAGACAAAAAAACCTAGAAAATACCCTTCTCTATATTGGCCTTGGCAAATAATTTATGGCTAAGTCCTCAAAGCAAATGCAACAAAAATAAAAACTGACAAATGGAACCTAATTAAACTAAAGAGCTTCTGTACAGCAAAAGAAACTATAAAGGGAGTAATAAGACAACCTGTAGAATGGGAGAAAATATTCACAAACTATGAATCCAACACAAGTCTAATATCCAGAAACCATTCGAAACTTAACAAGCAAAAAACAAATAACCCTGGTAAAAATTGGGCAAAGGACATGTACAGACACTTCTCAAAAGAAGACAGATAAGCAACCAACAAACATATGAAAACTTTTCATCATGACTAATCATCAGAGAAATGCAAATAAAAACCACAATGAGATACCATCTCACACCAGTCAGAATGCCTTTTGTTAAAAAGTCAGAAAGTAATAATTGTTGGTAAGGGTGTAAAGAAAAGGGAACACCTATACACTGTTGGTGGTAATGTCAATTAGTTCAGCCACTGTGGCAACTAGTGTTGAGATTTCTCAAAGAACTGAGAGTTGAACCACCATTCAACTCATCAATCTCATTACTAGATATATACCCAAAGGAAAATAAATCTTTCTACCAAAAAAAATACATGCACTTGTATTTTCATCACTGCACTATCCACAAGAGCAGACATGGAATCAAACCAGGTGGCCATCAACAGTGGATTAGATAAAGAAAATGTGATACGTATACATCATGGAA